GGTTTGAGGCTTTAGTTCCTCACACTGGAACTCTGGGTTGTGCTGATCTGTTCCTCCCAGATTATCTACACACAAATGTGGGACCACCTGCTCTGCCAGCCAACACCTCACCTGGTCAGCCAGCCACTGCTTTGCTGTTAGTCCTCTCTGCCCCGGCTTCCCATCTCTGCCCCCCCTATCAGTCTGGGTGAGTGCTTCTTCTTTAATTCTTTGGTTGTCAAAGTTCTATTTTCTGTCAGTTCTTGTTTTTGTTTTTAAACTTGTTGTTGTCCTTCTTTTGGTTGTGAGAGGAGGCACAGTGTATCAACCATGCACCTCCATCTTGGTTGGAAGTCAGATTTTCTAGGATAAACCATAACTTAGGTAATAAGTCTCAACATACTCTCAAAATTAAAAAGTTGTGTCTTTTCCAATTACAATGTTATGAAACTAGAAATCAGTAACAAGAAGAAAACTGGAAAATTTCACAAATACATTGAAATTCAATCCTTATCATGATTCTAATGGCTATTTTTCCAGAAATGAAAAGTAAATCTTAAAATTCCTGTGGAACCACAAAAGATCCTGAATAGTCAAAGGAATCCTTAAAATGCAAAACAAAGCTGGAGGCATCACATTTTATGATTCAAACTATAATACAAAGCTCTAGTAATCAAAAGACTATGGTACAGGTGTAAAAACAACACATAGACAAATACAAAAGAATCAAGAAATAAATCTATGTAAAGGCAGTTAACTAATATTTGACAGTAGAGCTATAATACTCAATGGGGAAAGGATAGTTTCTTCAATAAATGGTGTTGGGAAAAGTAGATATTCATAGGCAAAAAAATGAAACTGGGCCTTACATGTTATACTTCTAAGAAAAATTAACACAAAATGGATTAAAGACATAAATGTAAGGCCTGAAACCATAAAACTGCTGGAAGAAAACATAGAGAAACAGTTTTTGACATTGGTCTTGACAATGATTTTATATATGTGGCACCAAAAGCACAAACACCAGAAGCAAAAATAATCAATTGGGATCACATCAAACCAAAAAGCTTCCACACAAAAACAACAAAAAATAATCAACAAAATGAAACGACAATCTATAAAATGGCAGAAATTACTTGCAGACAAATATATCACTAAACAAGTATTTCCAACAGATTTTTTTAACTGTTCACTAAATTGCTTTCAAGGGTCTAATTCCCCAAAGAGAGCCTGGCTGGCAGGCTGGCTGACAGGAAAGCATCTGAATTAACAGCCCATCCATTCCTGCACACAAAGTGTATGTGTTGTCCACCCAGTGAAATCTGTGTCTATTGAAGAGAGAGCAGGTGGACAGATGGCCATGGGGACCATGGCTGACTGAGGATACCACCAAGAATACTGCAGAGTGGCCCATGCTGTCTAAGAGGAGAAACAGGACAGTCCCAGGCCAGTCATAGGGACCACAGATCCTGGCACTTTTTTAATGGAACAGCTTGTCTGTGGCCCCATTTCCCTGTGCTGTAAAGAAAAGGGCTGAATTTTTCATCATGCTAGAAGGGAGAATGTCTACCCCACCCCACTAGACAGCCAACAACAATGAAGGCCACTAAGTTGTCATACTTGTCTGCCCCATTTAGCTAGTCTCAAATGTGAGCTGTTTTCTGGGGAGCTCAGCTGTGGACCTACTTGGGGAGCATGGGGATGCAGAAGGACATGGAGCTCTCAAGGTCCTAAGGCTCTTGGTAACCACCCAACACCAAACCTCCCAGAGGAACCTCTCTCGGCATCAGCTCACACACTGCTCTGCTTTGCTGGAGAGAAGTGCCCTTTGTTGAGGAGACCCGATATTCTCCAATGGTCTCTGTGCACAGTGGGGGGGAGATCTCCCAGCAAGGCTTCACAAGGGCCCACATCAGAGTTCAGGGACTGCATAAATAAACCATTAATAAAAAACAGATTTGATACCATCATTCAATCTCTTCCTTTACCAAAAAGCAAATATTCTTAATCTTCTTGGCAACAACTTACATTTCTTATCATTCTAGATGACTTGTAAAGTATTACCTCCAACTGAAATGTTGGAAGAAACCCTGTTTTCTCCAGCCATATTGTTTGCTCTGTTATCTTATTTATAAAGGAGCCCACTCTAATGGGCATGTGTTTCTGCTCCCATGTACAGAAGTACAAAGTGTATCTACCCTGGCTTGTGGGTCTCCTAACAAATATGTGCCTCTGACGCTCTGCACAGCAGCATCTCCCTTCCTTGGTGGGCAGGGGCTCAGAGGCACTGGACCCACTGGGCTTCTCCAGAAGTCAGAAGAGGGCTGGGCCTGGGAGTGTGCAGGGTGGTCTGCTGCTTATGAGTAGGGATGAGACTTCTGCTTCTGATCTGTAGGAGTGACTTCCTACTGAGCCAGCCAATTGAAGAAAACAGCTAGAAACTCTAGGCAATAATTGGAGAACAACCTTGGCTCGTGTGGCTCAGTGGACTGAGTGCTGGCCTGTGACCAAAGGGTCATCTGTTCAAATCCCAGCCACAGCACATGCCAGGGTTTCGAGCCAGTTCTCCAGTCAGGGGCACATGAGGGGCAATTACAGAGTGAGGTTTCTTTCCCTTTTTCTCCCTCTCTTCCCCTCTCTCTAAAAACAAATTAAATCTTTAAAAAAAACTGATCAGGAAACAATGCTTAAAACATTGGAAGAATGAACAAAGACAGGACAATTTTTCAGAGAAGTCAAATCTCACATGCAGCCCACACTTGATGTTTCCAGGTTACTATCACCGGGCTCTGAGAGCAGCCACAGGTTTGTGTGGTGGTCAGCACTTTGGTAGGAAGTCCACTTTCCTCATGGTCAGCAAAGTCAGGCAGCCAGAGTCTCTGGGGGGCAAGAGGGTAATCTCAGAAAAAAGGAACGTCACAGACAAACCTCAGATTTTGTTTATAAACTCTCCCCAAGTCACCAAACTTAAGTTCCCAAGCAACTGAAGGCACAAAGATGAAAGAGATGAAGATCAACACACAAATGTCTTCCTGGGAAAAGGTGGATCAGGTACCCGGATTAGGTGTGTGCAAAAAGTAACCCCTAAATCTGAACCCTAGGGTTGGATTTATCCACAAGGCCTCAGGCTGCTACAATCAAATGCACAAGCACATGAACACACAAATGCACAGTCAGTCCACACCCCACAGACTGCTCTCCCTGTGACCTTGAGCTTGAAGGAGCACCAAGTCCAACCCTCTCCAGCCAGATGAACCCAGGGAGACCCACCAGGGAACAGACTCACCTTTCACAGAACTCCCAGCCTCAGAGTCTCCCCAGAAAGAAGGGTGCTCATGGGGACCAGGAGCCCTGCTGGTTAGTAGGCCACCTTCCAGAAGGGGACACTGGTGTGGGGCCTGAGAGTTCCCCCTGTAGGTCCAGGTGCCACCCTCTCCATTCCTACCTCCACTGAGATGCCTCAGGTCTCCATCCTCAGCCCAGTGGCTGCTGTTGCTGCTGCTGCCACCTCTTCCTGCTGGTGACTTCTCAGGTCCGGACTCTGCCTCATCTCAGGGACAAACCCCTGTCCCCACAGGGTCTCCCAGGCTGGAGACTCAGCCCACTACTGACGTCTGATTGGAAGCTGCTCCTGGTGAAGCCAAGAAAGCCTGTTCCCTTTCTGAGTCCTCTGCTCCATGTGCCTCCTCAGTTGCTGCCTCTCCTGCTTTCTAGGTTCCAGGCACCGTAGCTGGGGCAACTTCCCAGAGAACAGGAACAGTCGCCATTGTCATTGGTCCTTGCTGCATGGAAAATGTCCCAGGCACTCCCTTCTGTCCTTCACATCAGGCCAGCAGGACTGTTAGGGTCAACCTGCTTCTGAAGGTGGTCTCGTCCAGGTCCTCCCCCAGGTGGGTCTGAGGTTGCTTTCTGCATCAAAAAGTTTTGCTTTCTGCACAGAGGCCTCCTGACCCCTCAGAAACCACTGCTGTTGGCAGAACAGGGGTGCCTGCTCAGCTTTCTCTGGCCCCACAGGTTTGTCTCCTTCCCTTTGGCCAGGGCCGCCCCAGTGTGGGAGTGTCTACCCAGGAGACTGGCCCTGGTGGACCTCCCACCCACCAACTGCTATCCACCGCTCATGCATGTGGTGATCTTGGTGACTCTCAGCAGACTCAGGGACAACAGGCACATGTCTGCCCATACCCAGCACAGCGGGGCCCTAGTCGGCCTGCTGCTGAGGGACAGAGGAGAGAGGTGGGGGCCCCTGGAAAAGGCTGGTGTTGTCTGTATCCCACCCTGTCTGGGTCTCCCAAACCATGGAGGCCAGGAGCAGAGGACAGCTGTGCCCAGCAGAGGCTCAGCTTACTAATTTTCCACCCCCCAAACGGAGGGTGACAGGGCTGGAGAGAGAGGCCCCGCCCCCATGTGTGCAGCATCCAGGACTCAGTGAGACCCTGTACCCTGGGAAAGAAACGTCCTCGTCAGGGCACGGAGTCTGCCCAGATTCATCCTCACCCCTTGTAGGGAAAGAAAGAACATGTGTGGAGAGAGGGTAGAACCTTTCCCTGTGTCTTAAATTTAATTGGACTGGAACTCGTAGTCCAGCCAGGGGGAGTCAGACTCAGGGAACAAACATGGAAACCATCGCCCTGAGAATGGCGCTTCTCCAGCCCTGTGTCTGAACACGGACACCTAACTCTGTTCCTCTGCACCCTCTCAGAAAACCAGGGCCATGAGAACAGTTGGGTTTGCTCATGTTTTTTGTTTTTGTTTTTGTTTTGCTTCAAATAAGGGACTTCTGAGGGCTGGTCCTGCTCATTGATGGAGGTCCCCTGCCCCTGGCCCTCCAGGTCTTGAATGTCCCTCTTTGTCCTCCATTCCTGCTGCCACATGTCCTGATGGCTGAGAGCCACTGTGAGGCTGCAGGAGGAGTGAAATGTGGCTGGCAACACTCAAAAAGTTATTTTCACTTCTTTTTTGTGCATTAGAGTGGAACCCTTTCTGGGTGAGTCTGTTACAGACTTCCCGCTCAGGGCTGGGTGGGCTGAAACCAGGCTGAAACCAGGCTGAAAGGAGGCTGAAACGAGGCAGGGGACACCAGAGGGATCAGAGGTCTTGGCAGGGCCCAGGGCAGGACGATGGCCAGTTCGAGCAGCAACCTCAGGACCAGGTCAGTCTCTACCTTCCTTCTTTTAACTTCCCCTCTAGCTGTGCTCCTGCTTCACTGTCTGTCATTAGACACTGAACTAACCCTTGACCTTAGTCCTGCTTTACACGTACACTCACGTGCAGTGTGGTGGAATGCAGGAATGTGTCATGAGGAAATTGGATCTTTAAACAGCAGAGGGACAGCCGCTGGTGTGAGCGCAGCGGCCGCAGCCCACAGGACGCTGGTGGTACACCTACTGCTTCACTGATGGCCCCTCTGCACTCAGCTGTTCTTTCTGACTTTGAGAAAAGGATTTGTTATTGTCTCATGGCCTCTGAACTCTCTCATTTCCCTCTGGCTCCTCCACCTTCACCTAGGTTGTTTCAAAGAGGGCCCTTAAGAAAATATAAAATTCAGATTAAACATCTGACTTTGGGTGCCTTGGTCTCCTAACTGACCTGGGGACGGGTCAGCACCGGGCCCATTCCCACCTCTGGCTGGGGGTCTGGGTCTCCTCCAGGGGCCTTGATGAGGAAGTCAAAGGAAGAGGAAGGACCAAGACGCCAAAGCCCAGTGCAGGCTGCTGCTCTCATTTCTACTGTGATTTTCTGCTCTGGGTGGGTTCTACCTCTGACAAGGAAAAGGCTAGAAACCCCACCTTTTTCTTTAGTAAGGAGTCATAAATTACATTACTTGATGTGTCTAATTGTTTGGTTTTTGAATCCAAAAGAAATACATTATACTTTCTTTGTCATGAAATTTCAAATGACAGGGATGGACACAGAGGGAAGCAGTCCTGTTCACCACCCACCCCCTGCAGTTTCCATTCTTGGGCCTGCTGGGTGTTGTGGGCACGGCCTTCTGTGTCTTTTCTCTACATTTACATGAAAACATGTAAAGCGTGTTTCTGTGTAAATGAAAACATGGCTTGTTAGGAAATCATGACTTGTTTTCCTAAATGCATAATTTCTGTCTTGTTTATTTACTGAGATTATATTGTATACACCATTCTGGATTTTACATTTTTTAAATTTCAATATTAAAATTATTAGAGGTTTTTTACATTAATAAACATAAGGATCTACCCCATTCTTATTAAAAGGTGCACACTGCTCCATGGAGTTGTTTTCCATAATTGTTAAATTATGTTCCGTTTAATCCATTTATGTTGTTTTTGATTGTTCACTATTGCCAACAAACTGTGATGATAACACTTACATATTTCTTTATGTTTTGGCATGTATACAAGTATTTGTCTCGTGTCAGAAAACAAAAGGTAGAATTGTTCAGGCAAAGGGTACTAATATTCACTTGTTCATAGATCCTACCAAATTGCCTTCCTTGTGGCTGAACCACTGTATTCTCCCGCCACTGGCTGATGACCCATCTGTCCACACACAGACTTCACAAAGGAGCTGGCTAAAGGGATGCAGCCTGTTAATGTGCATTCTCTGATTGCATGGGAGATTGAACAGGTTTTCAGGTCTATTGGCCTTAAATTGCCTCTTCTATGAATTGTTGGTTTATTTTTGGCCAATGTGGTAAGTTGAGGTGATTGTTCTTCCTTTGATGACAAGGGAGAGTTTGCTACATACTCTGAACTTGTCAATATGCTTCCTTGTCTTTTAACTTTTTTATGGCAACTTCTATCTTGTTAAAGCTTTCAAATTTAGAGTAAAAACTTATAGTATTGATTTTATAAGATAGATGCACCCTGTTTATCACAAATAAATAAAAGCAATGCTGAAAGATATTGGTGAATTCCATGCACACTGTCTTTAACCAGAGTTATTGTGTTCATGAGAAGACAGATTCAATTCTTCCTTTACTTCAGGAAAAGTTTCTTCTCTAATATCTACAAAATGTAAATTTTTTAATTTAGGGGTAAAACTCTTCTTCCCTGCATGCAACTTTAACTTTCACAGCCTTATTTGTCCCCCATAAATCATCTTTTTACTTCCTGTTCATAATAGTTGTCTCAAATTTTCTTCTATGACAACTACTTAATTTTTAGTAGATCTTGTGGGGGGTTTTTTACTACTAATTTTTTGAAATGCTGAGTCTGTGAGTTTCCTCATCTCCCAGCTGTAGCCCTCTGTCTGTGTAAAGGCCAGGTAATCAGTCCCCAGGTGTGGCCAGAGCTGAGCTCTGCTTTCCTGGGAGGAAGTGACTTCCCAGCTTTCTGCTTGATGTTCTCTGGACCTCATCATCATGGTCATGGCCAGCTCCAAATGGTGAGCCTTTGGGTAACTCCTCTCTGCTTTTCAGGGACATTTGACATGGCTTCTTTAGCTTTTTGGCCTGAAAAACTAGACCGTGTATCCGAAGGGGGAATCTGACTGTGTGTTGGGACCCTCACTCCAGCCCTGCCTGACCCTCGCAAGCTCACCTGTCCTCCTTGCTCCCAGCAGAACTCCTTGCCCTTGACCAAGCCTAGGTTCTCATTCTCTGCTCTGGGACTAGGGTTTTTCATATTTTGAATGGTGTCTTTCGAAGCACAAAATATTTACTATTTTTTACTAATTTATCAGTTTTTTTCTTTATGGATGAAACTTTTGGTTTCATAGCTACCTCTTTGTCTTCTATAACTCAAAGTCACAAAGGTTTTTCAAAAAGTGATGTCATTGTCCCTTTTACACAGTACCAGCGTTTGCAATTTCTGCTCATACCAGCAATGAATGTCTGCTTCTCTGAATCTTCTCCCACACTGCATTGTCACTTGTGAAACTGTGTTTGCCAATCCAGTGGGTGGCAAATGGTTTCTCATTGATATTTTAGTTTGTATGTATTTGTATGTTTATTGGAAATTTTAATTTTTTCTCTAAATGACTTTCGGATGCGTTTTGTTTGGCATTATATGTCATATTTTGTCAATAGGCTGGAGTGTTTGTCTATTAGATATAATACCGCTTAGACCTGTGTACTGGAAATATATTTCTACATTCTTTTACTATCTCACTGAATTATTAACATTAAATCAATTAAATCTCCTATAATTACTTTGCTTGACTCAGGTATTTTTTCTGTCATATATATTTTTAAATTACCTTATCCACTTTCAATAGGATTACAAATTGCAGGTGCACTACACTTTTACAAGAACTTCAGAAGGATTGACACTTTAAAATTGTTATGTTTTCCTAACTGAAAGCACCTTCCACCTCCCCGTTTATTTAGAGCTTGATAATATTCTTCAATAAGACATTATAGTTTCTTTCATATAGTTCATAACTTTCAGATGTTTATAAATATATGAATGTGTATTGACTATTGTGTTTGAAGTGAATATTTTCTTCCTTTTCAACATATGTTGTTGCAAATAAAATCTGTTCATTTTATGTATGTTTTTAAAAAAGTCATGCCTCTTGGCAAATTCTTTTTCTAGTTCTTAGGGAATTTATTTAGGTCTCTATCATTTCTCTATATGTAATCATACATCATATAATATCGTATCTTTTTTTAGTATTTATGCCAATGAATTTTTTTCTTATCCTATTGCATTAGCTAAAACATATATGTGAGCAAATTGTGGTAATGGTAGGCATCATTGAATGGCCTCATCACTTCAATGTTTACTGTAGTATTTGCTGTTTTTTTGAGAGTTTGTACTGTGTCAGCTTTCAACTGTTTCATATAGTTTTTCTAAAAATACAAGTATGGAGTCTCCAAATTTTAAAAAATAATTCATGAATATATAACTGTATACTTTCACTGCTTTTGTTTATTCTTGCAATACATTTCATAAAAAGTTCCCTGATATGTAACAGTCTTTACTCCATCTCATTCCACTGTCTTCCTGTATTTTTTTTTTTCTTGCAAAACAACCTCTAACAGCAAGATCTGTTTCCCCATTTACCCAGTAGAGGGCTTTTTGTTTTCTGTCATACAATTTTTGGGTATTGTCATTATTTTCACATGCAGCATGTTTAGCTTTTACCAATTAAAACTTTCTGAAACTTCTTTTGTAATGAAGATCATGATGTGTTGACATTCCTTTCAAAATATTGAAAATAAATTGTAGTTCCCTCTTTTCAGCATGCATGGTTAAGTAATGTGTCTTTCTAACAAATATCTCCAGAGCCTGTATGATACATTTTGCCTGTGCAAAAAGTCAAAATCTAGAAGTAAAAGTTTCTTTAATGTTTATAAAACATTTGTTCCTTTACTTGTGTTTTCAATTTTTCTATCCCATCAGCATGAGCATCGTTTTGTTGGTGCTGTTGTTGTTCATGTTTGCATACCATAACTTTCTATCTGTGATTTTAACAACCTTTATGGCACTTTGTCTTCCTTGGGTCTCTTGCTGGACTTGATTTTTGATCCTGTGCTGTGCGATATCACCATTGTTTCATCTACGTCAAGGATTTTGCATAATATAATTTTTGTACTTTTTCTGTTTTAACTTTTAAACTCCTTATTGTTTTCCTTGTTCCTTTTTTGTCTAAAAATGCAAGCTATGTTTTCTTTTTATTTTACTTCTTCCTGTCTTAAGTGACATTAAAAAGCTTAATTTTCATCAACCAGGGTTCTTTTCAATTGTTTAATTTATTTTTAATCTATATTTTTGTAGTTTTGAATTTGAAACCATATTGTTCAAGTCTTTGAAATTTAAAAAAGTCATATCAAGCAAAAAGGAAAAAGGACTCATGGACAACAGTGTGGGGAACGGGGGCAGCAGGTTGAAAGGGGGATAGGAGGTAATGAAAATATTCAATGAAAAATGATTGTGAAATATAAAAACAAGTCATTTAACTCCAATTTCCCTTTACCACTCAGCTCTGCACTTTAAGTGGTTAATATACTTTACAACCTTACACTGAAATACTTATTATTTTGCAAAATAAAAATCTTCTCTTTCTAGAATAATGTTTTGAATACAGATTCTTTACACATTTAGTTGAATACCAACTTAGGTTTTGCATTATTGGAACTATTGTTAATGGTATTGTTTTATTTAATCTTGAATTTTAATATTTCAATGCTGGCATGTATAAAAGCCATTATCATTTTTACATTATTTTGTACCCAGTGTCCTTGCTATACTTATTTCTTAGTTATAGATGATGTTTTGGAGAATTCTTTAGGATTTTTCTGCACAGGCAGTTATGTCATCTGCAAAGACAGTTTTATTTCTTCCAACACTCTATAGTTTTAATTTCCCTTTTCATTTTCCAGTATGCATTCCAGTACAATATTGACCAGGACTTGTAAAAGGGGAACATCTTTCCTTTTCCTGATCTTAGGGGGAAAGGGTGCAGGTTCTCAGCAGTAAGTCTCATGTCAGCTACAGGCTTCTTGTGGATGTCCCTTCTCCAGTTGAGGAAGTTCCTTTTTGTGTCCAGTTTGCTAGGGGATTTTACATGAATGGAAGTAAATTTTGTCAAATGAACTTTCTGCATCAGTTGACATGATCACTCCATTTTCTTCTTCAGCCTCTTGATATGGTGGGTTACACTGAGTGATTTGGAACATTGAACCAGCCTTGCATATCTGGGGTAAATTCCAGTTGGTCATGGGGATAGTTTTTTATACATTGTTATATGCAATTTGCTAATGTTTTGGTGAAGATTTTTGTATTGCTATTCATGTGAGTTATGGGTCTGTAGTTCGTCTTTCTCTGCTTTTGGTGTTGCAGTATGCTGGACTCATGGGATGAGTTAAATCTTTTCCCTCTGCTTCTATTTTCTGGGCAAGGGTTGAAGAACTATATCATTTCTTAGTTCAATGTTTAGCAGAATTCACCAGTGAAATTATCTGAGCCTGATACTTTTTTTCAATGTTAATTACTCCTTTACTTAAAAAAAAACAGATATAAGACTAGTCAAATGATCTATTTGTCCTTGTGTGAGTTTTGGTAGTTTGTATCTTTCAGGGACTTGGCCCATTTTATTGAAATTACCAAAATGGTACTCAGAGATTTGTCACAGTAGGTTTTGAAAGTGCTTTCATTGTCCTTGGGATCAGTTGGTGATGATCCTGCTTAGACTTCTAATATTGGTATTTTGTGTCTTTTATCTGTTTTTCTTATTAGCCTGTGTTAAAGTTTATCGATTTTATTAATCTTTTCTGAGAACCTGCTTTAGGTTTTGTGGTTTTCTCTATTTTTTTCTATTTCCACTTTCACTGATTCCTATCTTATTAAATTTTTATTTTATCCTATTTCTTCCATTTTAGGTTTATATTCTTTTTTAACATATTTATTTAACAGAATCTATTTCCCACTAATTACTGCTATTTCTGCATCACCAATTTTTGATAAATTATATGTCCAATTGCATTTAATTTAAACAATTTAAAAATTTCTCTTGAGACTTATTTTTGCCCATATGTTATTTAGAAGTATATTTTTGATCTCCAAATATTTGAGGAGTTTCTATCTATTTCTGTGTAATTAATTTCTGATTTAATTTCTTTCTTGTCTGAGTGCATATTCTATGATTTCTATTCTTCTGTACTTGTTAAAGTGTGCTTTATGACCCCAAATGTGGTCCGTCTTGGTGTAGGTGAGTTTCCCTGTAATCATGTGGTCTGTGTGTACACAGTGTTATGAGTCAGACTATTCTATAAATGCCAGACAGACTAATTTCATTAACAGTGTTGCTCAGATCAAATGTATTTTTATTAAATCTTTGCTTGCTAGATCTATAAATTACTAAAAGAGGGTTTGAAGGCATCAAACTCTAATAGTAGACATTTATTTCTACTTGTGGTTCTTTCCATTGTTACCTTCTATAATCTGATGGTGTGTTTAGGTAAATGCATGTTAAGGGTTGTTAAATCTTCTTGGAAAACAGACCCCTGTTTCATGTGTAATGCCCTCTTGCTCCTTCATACCTTCTCTCGTTCTGAATCATCTTTGTCTGGAAATAACATAGCTACTCCATCTCTCTCTTGGTTAGTATTAGCATGATCTCTCTTTCTCCATTCTTAACATGAGTTTTATATTTAAAGGTTTATTTTGTTAAGACAAATAGGTTTTAATTTTGTTACAACATAGAGGTTTTTTGATTTTTGCAGTCACTTTGATAATCTCTGAGGGTTTTTCTTATTTTTTTATTGCTGACACTATTACAGATGTCCCTATGTGTCCCCCTTGGCCTACCTCCACCAACCCCTGCCTCCCCTTCCCTCTGGCCATCACCCCACTGTTGTCTGTGTCTATGGGTTGTGCTTGTATGTTCACTTCTTTCATATATAATCTGTTTTTTAATTGGAATATTAAGACCAATCACATTGAAATAATTACTAATAAATCGAGTTAATATCTATCATGTTTGTAACAGTTCTCTATTCCATCTCACTTTCATACAAATGTAATTTTTTTCTTGTTTAAATTCCCATCTCCCCACCTCCTCTCCTTTGACAAACATTAGCTTATTCTCTGGATGTATGGGTCTGTTTCTGCTTTGTTTTGCTTTGTTTATTCATTTGTTTTTTGAGGTTCTTTACTCCACATAAATGATATCATATGGTATTTGTTTTTCCTATCTGACTTAATTCACTTAGTATAATATCTTCCAGGTCCATCCATGTTTTCACAAATGGCAAAATTTCATACTTTTTATTGGTGGATAATATTCTAATATATGTGTGTGTGTGTTTATAAAACATCTTTATCCATTTCTCTATTGATAGATGTCTAGATTGCTTCTATATCTCAGCTGTTACTAGTAATGCTGCAATGAACATAAGAGTACATATACCTTTTTGAATTAGTGTTTTCTTCAGATAAATGTCCAGAAGTGGAATTGCCAGATCATATGGCACCTCTATTTTCACTTGTATGAGGAGGAATCTCCATACCTTTTTTCATAATCACTGCACCTATTTACATTTCCACAAAGTACAAGAGTTCCCTTTTCTGTGCATCCTGCAGGCACTTGTCATCTGTTGATTTATTGATGATAGCTATTCTAAGAAGTGTGAGGTAATATCTCATTGTGCTTTGAATTTACATCTCCCTGGTAGCTAGTGATGTTGAGCCTCTTTTCATGTATCTGTTGGCCATTGGCACGTCCTCTTTGGAGAAGTGTCTGTTCAGGTCCTCTGTCCATTTTCCTATTGAATTTTTGTTTCTTTCGTGTTGATTTGTATGACTTGTTTTTATACTTTAAATGTGAATCCTTTATTAAATATGTGAATATTTTCAAATATCAGTAGCATGTCTTTTCATTTTGGTAATGGTATCCTCTGTTGTGTAAAACATTTTTAGTTTGATGTAATTTCATTTATTTATTTTTTATTTTTTTTCTTTTCCTCAAAAAGATACATCCAAAAAGATGTTTCTAAGAGTGATGTCAAAGGGCTTACTGCATATGTTTTCTTCCAAAAGTTTTAGGTTTCAAGTGTAACAGTTAAGTCTTTAATTTATTCTGAGTTTATTTTTGTCTGTGGTATAAGAAAGTGGTCAAATTTCAGTTTTTATACATGTAACTGTTGAGTTTTGTCAACACCACTTCTTGAAGAGAATGTCTTTACCCCATTGTATACCTTTCTCTTAAATTATTTAGCCGTACATGTCAGGATTTATTTCTGGGCTATCTATTCTAGTCCATTGATCTATATATCTGTTTGTTTTTGCCAATACTATACTGTTTTGATTATTACAGTTGTATAGTGTAGTTTTATGTCAGGGAGTATGATACTTCCCACTTTGTTTCTTCTTGAGATTTTTTTGGGCTATTTGGGGTCTCTTCTGGTTCCATAAAAAATTAGGATTAATTCCAATTCCTAGAAAAATGTATTTCAACAGGGATTGTACTGAACACGTATATTACTTGAGGTAGTAAGGACATTTTAACAAAATTAATCCTTCCAAATCATGAATATGGCACAGTATATTTTTCGATTTATTTGTATCTTCTTTAATTTCTTTTCTCAATGTCTTATCTTATTGTGTTCAGAGTAAAAGTATTTTACCTCTTTGGTTAAATTTATCCCTAGGTATTTTAGATGTTTTGATGCAATGGTAAATGGGATTATTTTCTCATTTCTTCTTAATATATAGAAACAAACAGATTTTTGTATATTGATTCTGTATTCCTCAACTTTATTAATATCATTTACTAGTTCTAATAGTTTTGGGTAGAGGTTTTAGGGTTTTCTATTATAATATCATGTCATCTGCCAAGAACTAGAGTTTTACTTCTTCATTTCGAAATTATAATGACATTTACTTCTTTGTCTCGTCTCATTGTTGTGGCTAGAACTGCCAATATTATGTCCAATAGAAGGTTTTAATAAAAAATATTCCAAATAAGTTTAGGAGAAGACATATGTACAATACCTTCAATTGGGACAGTCTGGACATTTTTGATAATATGCATGTCTTTGGGATCCTCCATGCTTCTTCAATTATATCTTTGTTGATTGTACCACTTCCACTTATTCTGGTCTCCATTCAGAACTTCCTATTTAATTCATGTGATTCTTCACATTCTGTCCTTCATATATAAAACGTTACACCCTCCACCAGCACTTCAAAGGCTTGATGACCATTTTATCATGGTGTCCTTTCTCCCTAGGATGTCTGCAGGAAACTACAAACTTGCGTGTGAGATTGCAGTCAAACGCTTCAAAGAATATAAGGTTGAGATTTCAGATGCAATAAATAGACCTTTTCCTTTCCTTGAGATCCTTCGTGACCGTGGATTCATCACCAATGAAATGTATAAAGTAAGTGAAGTTTATTATGTCACAATCTGGTAAACCAGCCCCACATTAGTTGTTTTGGTAGTTTGGAATCAAACGTCAGGGCACACAGAGACAAGTGAGGGGTCTCCTGTAAGTGGGGGCTTGCTCAAGTACTGCTCTAAGTGTTCCTAAGGTGAAAAAGAGAAGCTGGCATCCTTGGAGGCAGTCATGCTCCTGACTGAAGGAACGGGACTTTTTGGTGCCCCCTAGAGTCGAGGTGAGTTACACTGGAGATCGGCTGGATCTGAAGGTTATGGGCCCCATAGGTGTACAGTATAATGCTTGCAGGTGTTAGATGTACAATACAGCGTAAACTAGGCATTAAATGTATTTTTAATGAATGGATGAATAACTTAAGCAACTGATTTAATAAAATAATTTACACAGCATTTTATTCCAATGAACATCAATTTAAATGCTTAGGTCTGAGAACACTAAAACCCACAGAAAATGAATACATTGTTGGACAAATTTCTAAGTAGTTACATGCTATTCTCTCTCCAACAGCTTTCAGTTTTCTTTTCCTTTGTTATTTCTGGAATCTTGAAAATTAGATAATTCTAGCAAAAGACATAGGGGGAGATACAAAGATGTGAATCTTCTCTTTCCCTGTGAATAGGCTATTTTACAGCAAAGCTCACAGGAAGGGAAAAATGACCACCTGGCTTCCTTGAGCTTTGTCAGGCCAAGTTGGTCCTATGGAAGGGGCAAGTGTTTTTCATTCAATAGAACATCAGCATATCACCTGTTCAGTCAACTCTTAAAACATTTTGCCAGGTTCTGAAAGGGCTACATATCATTTAACTTTGAACCAATTTTCATTCTCCATATTGCTCCTCCATCCATCTAATATAAATGGGAATGATGACATCAAATGACCAAATGAGTATTATTTAAGGAAAAAAGATTTACTTATTTGTAGCTTTATAAATATGGGGAAATTTTGAAACTGTACATGAGAAGATACCTATGTAGGAGAATTGTAATACATTAAAATGAAATCACTTTCTAGGGCACTTCTGTAACTTAAAATTCTGTATTCATATTTCCCTGTTCACTACATTTTAAGGAGTCTAAAGAATCTTGTCAAAACCTGTCAGCTGTACCAAAAGTGATGTATGCAGTCTTCGATAACATGGAGGAGAAATGTCACCTGCCGCTTCTGGAAATCTTGTTCAGCAAGGTCATCATGAAGAACTACCCTGATTTAAATGGCATTTGTGAAGGCTTCAGAGATGGTAATGAGGTTTATAGCCTACCTTTCAATGTCTGTGGCAAATTTTTTTGACAAATATATTTTGAGCACGTGTCACACATGATACTGGTCCGAGGTGACATAGCAAGTAAGAATACAGACATCATGAGCCTTCTCGAAGCTTTTGGTATAGTGACTACAGTATAAAATGCACCTGGAGGTCTGCTTAACTAAGCATTTAAACTCACACAACAATTGGAGTCACAGTCATGTCAGATTTACTTCCAAGAACAAATGACAAGAACCACTGCATCTGAGTAAGGCACCATCAGTTACTGCTCTTTTTTTACATGTCCAAATAGTCCATCAAGTACCCTACTATCTGCCTCAGCTGACAGCTCAACAGTGGGTGCAGGATCCACCTGGCTTAGCAGCACCAAGACCAGGGGAGTCAATGTCTCATGTAACAACTCTGTAGTCATTGCTTTCAGGGACCTCATGAGAAACATCTGAGTTACAAGAGTCACCACATGAGAAGCTCATAGTTGACATGGAGTCCTTCTGAGTCCAGTTATGGGTCGTTTTTCACCCTAAACCCAGTGTTGACCTCGTAATACCAAAAAGAGAGACCACCTTCATCAGGTGCCCAGAGTAATGAGAAAGAAAATTAACCCACGTCAAATTGGCCCTGAAACAAAGATGATGGCTGATTTAGCTCTTTCTCCACCAGGGGTGAGACAAACATTAATCAAATAATCTCAAAATTAATTTCTCTGCAAGAAACTGTGTTTAATACCGCACAAAAGTGTTTGATTCACCACTTTTTCCTGAGACTCACAATGTATAATTTGTAACTGTAGTCTGAATTTGCTGTTCAAAATGTTTGGGCAGTAATTTTAGCATGATTGTCACTCATTATAATTTCTTCGTCCTATAATTTTTGTTTTGACCTGCCAAAAAATTTTATTTCAACACAGTTTAGTATCCACCAAGATCTCCAAATAACAATGGAGAATTCACCGGAAAAAGAATTATATGCTCTGAGTAGTGCAGATGCTCTGGGAAAAGCACTTGGCTGGTGCACTGGTCTCACCTTTTTGGCAGCCTCCCAGGCCCTGGTCCAGGTCTCTTGAGACGTCCTCCAGGGCGACAATATTCACTCCCTCCTGGCAGCTTCAGAAAGTCTGCTGGGATCTGCGTCCCCTGGAGGCCTTTCTAGTTCTTCCTGTGTCCTCTGCTGTCTCTTTGGGAAGTGCTCATCCTCCTGACCCAGTAAACTCCACCCTTCACTTGACCACCTATTTATTTTAAGTTTCTGTGCTTTCACATTTATATATGCAGTAACTTAAATAGGATCTTTTTCCTTCTGGCAAGAATATTCTCGTTTTTTCTGTACAGTTTGAAGAGGTCAGAAAACACACTTCACTTCCAGTTTTTATTTGACACATCCTTTTCCAGCCATCTGTAATTTTTTTTTACATACCTAGCAAGCTCCCAGTGTTTTGCATGACTCCTTTATCCTGACATTCGAGTGACTCCTTTCTGTGTGGGTAACATAAGGATGCCCTTATTGGGGATTCTCTTTTCTGTACCAGGGATGGTGTGGAACTTGACAATGAGGACTGGGACTCACTGAGTTCTGAGTGACCAGAGGCTGAAAATTCCTAAACATGCCCACTTGATATCTCTGCACTCTGATGGAGATTTCTAACTTCTTTTCTCTCTCTCTTCAGTGATCCAAAGGAAAATTTTTCAAAAAGCAAGTGTTGGAGATAAGAGTGCACAGAACCATAATACTCAACTGAGCATTGAACAAGGTAATTATAAGTAGATAAAAAATGATTTTGTTCGGCCCAGAAGAAAGGAGAAGTGTGCTTAGTGCTCACTGCTGCCCTTGGGTGGAAGTATCACCATGTGCCCATTTGCAGAAAAAGAGACTGAAATCCAGAGAGACCAAGTACACAGTTAGCTTGGGGTCAAATGAGCAGGATGAACCCAGGCCTTCTGAACCCACAGTCCATCCTCTAAACTCTGTAAACTCCCAGATAAACTCAAGGAAAGGACAGGCCCTTGAGACAAATAGAGGGAAATATTCGCAGAAAGGAAGATACAAAAGGAAGAATACCAAGAGGTACAGGAGTGAAGGGAAATCACTTGCTGAATCCTGGTGAAAAAGCCCACAAAGCAGAGTGAACAGACCTGCAGAAGGAGGGTCTGTGTGAAGCAGGCTGGGGGGTCCAGTAAGACCACCAGTCTGGGGTAGCTCTGGAGACTAAAACAGGTTCCCTGTGGCTGTGGTTGACAAGACAAACAATCACTAGTTACTGAGTGCCTCATGGATGACACAGTGGGATGGCCTGACTGAGGCCAGGGGTGCAGGTCTGCATTGATTCCTGGGGGAAGGGGTTGTCAAGTACTACACTGTAAAGATTAACATGGGACTGGAGGAGAATTGCACAGATCACAGTTCAATTTCTAAAATAAGGTTGTAATCTCTTCCTTCAGGAACTGGTGAAAACCCATATCCATTCCTGTCCTGGCTCTCCCTGGACAAGTCCAATTACGCAGGTCTGTTCCTTCTGGCTATTCTGTGATGCTTTGCTGCTCCTGTCCCTTTCTGCAATAGGCTGTGGTGGGAGGGCTGCTACTTTTTAGTATGGAGTGCCCAGAGTTGTCCATCTTGTCATGTGCTATGTCTCCAAAGATTTAGATAACAGAGTCTTCATACACTGAGTTGCCTGGGAGGGTTGGTCCTCTCTTTCTCACATGTGCTTTCTGCCAACTGTTGACAGCTCTGGGACCTATTGCCCATGTGTCTGGCTTCATGGCCTCTGCATCTGTCTTGCTTGAAATAGGCTGTGGCCTGAGCTGATGATCTTCCATCCTGTGGTGGCCTGTCCTGCAGGAGACAGCTTAGCAGTGATGACTGTGTTCCCTGGGGGAGAGTCCCTCACCTGTTGAATCCTTTACACAGCCCCATGTGCCTCCCGTGCAAACCCTCTCCCATCATCCCCAGCACAGCGGGCCAGACGCTGGTCAGAAATACCAGAGGGGCCTCTGAACAAACACTTGAAACTTTAACAACCAATAACCACTGTTTACAACTCTTAACATTTCCTTAGTCTATAACACACTTACTAAAGTTGTTAAAATATTTAAAATATGATAATAAAGTTGTTAAAATATTTAAAATATGATAAATGAAAGACATGAATCCTGAAAAGTTAATTTCCTGGTCAGTCACCATATCACGTATAGTAACACAGGCAATATTTTATTTAATCTACTCAAACAGTTAAAATGATGGTATGCCATCTGTGTTTTTCAGAAGACAAAGAATCTGCTTGGAGACTTGGGCTACTTGTGGGAGTTCAGGCACTGAGACTAGGGATTAAACTCTGCCATGGGGCACTGTCAGAGCAGGAGGAGCTGGCTTCCAATTCTGCCCTGAGACCTTGGGAAGTGACACCTCCTCTTTGTCCGTCAGTTTCACCATCTATCAAATGGAGGTGATAATAGTATCTCCCTCACAGGGTGACAAGTTGTATCATATAAAGAATTCACAGACTTGCATGAGTCTCCATCAGTGTTCTAAAGATTTTTTAATATTACTATGTTTATGATCATTATTATTAGTATTAGGCCAGAGTTTAAACTGTTATCTACCACAGGAAACTGTGGGGTTTTCTTTTCTCAAATATGTCCATTGTGGATTTAATGATCCCTCAGGCTATGGAGTAGTGATCAAAACAGTACCAACCTGAGGCCCAAGAAAATAAATTGAGGACCACAGGTTCCCCATCCTTATATCACACTAGTGTATAACAAATTTATGTCTTTATTCCCTGACTCTTCTTTGCAAATAAGTGACACGGAGGAGACTCAGGGAAGTTCCTGCACCATGGGAGGTATAATTCTGTAGGAAGGTAAAATTCTAAAACATATAATTTATTAAATGTGTTATTTAATAAAAGATCGTATAAAATACCATTTTTTTATAAAATAAAAACAGAGTGATTTTTAAAAGCCACCATACTTCTAGAAAATTACATTTAGTAAAAGGGTTAACACTTAACATGCATCCAACATTCATCAAAGTATATTCTTAGCAGTTCATCTACCACTGCAACTGGTGGGAACAGGAAGGGTTGAGAGGAAGGAATTGTGACTAGTAATGAGCAGAGAAGCAAATTAATGTGCAGGTGGGGTGTTGGGTGGAACCATGACATTATGACCCAAATAATGTGCAACAAACCACCAGTAAATACATCCAAGAGTCTGACCTAGCAGGATGGTTGACTGTGACATGCACAGGCGAGGATACCACTGTGTCTGATGCCACCCCCACCCCAAGAGGAGGCTCCAAGGAACATGGATGTAACATAAAACAAGTACCAGGGCCCATGTTCTATGTTTAAATTGTGGGAAATAAATTTTAAATCATCTTTACATGAAGTAATTTGTTTAGGAAAAGAGCAGTAGATGAAATAATCACAGCTGCACTGATAAAATATTTTTCATCCATACAGTATTGAGGTTGGAGGCTACCGAGGGGGATGGGTCAGTGGAATCAATAATGAGTGAGGGAGGTTCAGTGTGGGGAAGAGGGTGTACTGGTCCCTGAGTAGTTTATCCAGGACCTTAATGTTTCTTCCTTCAACCTGTCCCTTTGTCTCTGGCCACAGACCCATGCAGACTTTGCAGACAGTTCACTTGCTTCTGCTTCCTGCTGGGTTTCTAACTTAGGTCACACTAGCAACAGATTGGAGAGTGGGAGCAAGGGGGAAGCTTGGTTTTTCCCATTCACTGTCTTGGGCAACAGTTCTGACAGCAGCAGCAACTCTGATGACTCTGCCTTCCAGCAGGCAGGCAAACATGATCCCCTTTCTAGCTCCCAGGCAGCCTTGGCACATGATCTCACCTTTGATTCCCTCCCATAGCTTCCTATTCACTATTCTTGGGTTGGAATTCTCAGCTCTTCCATTGGCTGTATGACTGATCATCTGGATTAAATTCCTTCTGCTCTAAAAGCTTAGAGAAGTTTCTATTTTCTGGTTGGACCCTGAGTGATAAAGAAAGCAAAGAAAATATCTATGAATCATACATGGTCTTAGTACAGCTCCACCTGATAATGGACTCTCAGAGTGCCTCTCTGGAACAGAAGACATAAATGTGCTGGGTACAGGTACAATCAGTGACAACAATGCATTTAGCAACCCAACAAGGGATTGAAAAATATGCCCAAGTGTTTGAGCCAGTAGGTAATACTGAGTGGCTGAGTATAATGAGTGTGGAGGGGAACTGGCAGGTGGAGGGACCCTACATTGTGAGTAAGGGCACAGGGAGCCTGCAGTGATGACTGGAATGCTAGGCAGGAAGAAATTACAAAGAAAGACAAAGTTGACATAGACGAGGGCTTTATGGGTCAAAAAATAATGAAGAGACAGAAAGAAAATAGGAGAAAGTAGGAAACATAGCTGAGAAAGGATAAACTAAAAAATCGGGTGGCGCCAGCAGGGCCAGGTCTAAGGTGACGGGGGAAGACCCTGGGACACAAGTAAGGAGGAGCTCACCCTGAGGACCGCTTGTGTCCTGGGCACCTTCTTTGCTTTACCCAAGACCCTGTTGCCCCTGGTAGGCAATGATAAAAATGTAAAGAAATAGTATAAGGAGACAAAGATACAGAGGGAAATGAGTATCAATAAATAAAAAATGGGGAGGGAGACACAAAGAAAACTGTGTTGAAGTGAGTAAAGGACAATGAATGGAGAACTGGCAGAGAGAGGACCAAGCATTGTCTGATAGGAGGAGACAGTCACCACAAAGAGGGCACAGTGGGCTGCTCCTCTCACCACTTAGAAGGTGAGGTGTCCACAGTGACCAGAGTGGCCCTGGAACCCTATCAGATGAAAATAGGCTTCTACTTTGAAAAGTAGAAACAAAAGTGAAAAAGTAAATAAATAAAACCCAGTGGCATTACAGGGAGAAGGTCTTAATTGTAGTGAGGGTGCTCACTTCCTTTGGGGAGACAAACAAAATTCTTCATTTTTGTAATTAGGTTCAGGAGCAGAGCTACCCCACCATGGAAACTGAATAAATTCTTGCTCTGTAGATCTTGTGGATATAATGAAGGAAAAGTCATTTTTTAATTCAGGAGATGAATGGGAAGCCCAAGCAAAGACTGACTGTAACCAGGCATCTAATGTAATAGGCAAGGTTGACTGAAAGAATGTGTGATGTGAATCATGGTAGCAGGTCGGGGTCTGGGACACGTCATATGGCCTATGGAGGCTGTCCTGGTGGCCTGAGTTAGAGGTAGGAAAGTGAGAGGATCAGTACCTTATGCAGTGAGTTCAACAGAAAAATATCCCTTGTGATTGGAAAAGCATAAAAAACAAAAATGGTAAATTTAAGTGTTGATGTCAGATTTTCTGTGTTCAAGGCAATAATTCAGAGAGCCAAGATATTCATGAAAGGAGATTAAAACAAACACAGGAAGAGAAGAGAATGTATAAAGAGATACCATCACCAGAAACAAAAATAGTAAAAATAGGCCAAACCAAGAGGAAAGTGAAGAATTAAGATAGGAATGAAAGAAAGAGATAGAATGGGGGTGGAAGTAATAGAGAGCAAAGGTAAGAGGTAGAATGAGGGTGGGGATCGGATGTAGAGTGAGGATGGAAGTAGGAGACGGGGTGACTGTGGGGTAAGCATTGCTGCAGAATGGGCACAGCTGTCCTCTGTGCCTGAATGTCACCACCTTCTGTGTAGGACCTGGAGCAACCTGCAGGCCACACATGTTAGGGCACAAACCAGGGGAACCTCTTGACTTAGCTTCTAGGTCTTCCTTGTGCTCTTGTCAGGAGGTTTCCTATCAGTGGGCTCCTTGGCACCTCCCTGAAAGTCTAAGGGGTTTTTGTCCTCTGTGCAGTGACCAGCAGTGCTGACTCTGCAGAATGTGGAAACAGAAAAGAGCCTCCCAAAGGTTCCACCTCAGCACTGAATAAAAAACCAGGTGAGGAGGTGGGAGCTCAAGGCTTGGGCTGCAGGACCTGAATTAAGAGCAACTCTTTCCAGGGGCATCTGTTCTGAGCTCATGCTGCACTATGGATCCAGTTTATCTTGGAATCTCATTCTCTGCATTCATTTCAGTATTTTACTTAACCTTTTGGGAATGTGCAAGTTAATAAGAATTAATTATGTTTACATTTTTTTGAAAATGGGGCCTATTAATTTATGGGTCCTATTAATCAACCTATGCATCTATCTATTGATTATATAGTAGAAATAAGCCAGCAAAGTAATGAATGTGTTTGAAAACTGAGTCTATGACTATAAAGCGCTGGTTGGATTTTTACAGTGGTTTCCATAGAGAAAAGAAAGCTAAGTATTTCTTTACTGGAAGGTCATATTGTCATCGGGTCACAAAACTTTGAATAGTGTCAAGGGCCAATTCCTTCAGTTATCTAGTGTGAGAGGAAACAGATAAGGAATTTTGAAACCCAAAGTATGGTTTTTGACAGAGCTCTTCAGCAGGTTAGGAACATATAGTGACTTTTCAAAGGACCTTTGCAAATAGTGTCTTACTTTTTCCTTTACAGCAACCCTGAGGGGTAAGCAGTATGGACAGTGTCAATTTTGTTTCTAGATGAGCAAACACAATCACATAAATATTTCAAGGACTTCCACAAAGTCTCATGGAGAAAAAGGGGAAGACAAGACTAGCATGCCAGATGCTGTGTTGTTTCCTTTGTAAAACTGGAGCTCAAAACAGTTACCAAAATATGGTTTCCTCAATTCTTTGTGCAGCATGAGTAATTGTAAGATTTGTGGCTCTTTAGTGCACAAATCAGAGATTCGTTTCCCCTTCCTACTTCCTCAGAGGATATTGCAAACCTGTCTATTGCTAATGTGTTTACTAAGTCAAGATTTTAAAAGCAAATAAAAATGTTACCAGCTCTTGACGTTACAACAGAACAATATTGCAAGTAATACTTTTGTTCTGATATCTCACTATATCTATCAATGTATAATGGAAGTTTGCTTCAGTTTTTTAGGGAGTATGCTTTCTGACTTGTGTCTCAGTGTAGGCAACTGCACTGAAAGATGGTCCCAACATAGGTCTATGGCTCAGACACAAGAGAAGATTATTTCTCAGCCTTGCAAATGATTCAAGGGGCACTACGGTGTATAGGAGTCTCTCTACCTTCAACAAAAGATATCCAAGGCCTCCTCACAAAGAAACAGCCAATGAATACATTGTGAAATGACAATAGAAGGGGTAGGAGGAGGAAGAGAGAGAAGTGTAGGAAGGTCAGGTTCAAACAAAGCAATGAATTGTCTCTGCTCTGGGAACAGGGAAAGGAACATCAATACCTACAAGGCAGGTGACCTAGGAGAGCAGTTCAGGTGGCCTATGCAAAGGCCATGATATACATGGGTTTTCAAAATATTTCCAAGTTTATTAGGGAATTTCCTGCTGAATTGGTTCCTTAGTCACACACTGAGACACTTAGCGAATCCTATTCCTCTGTGCAGATATCAATAACCTGGACTCCTTAGAAATGAGCAAAGGAGGAAAGACCAACAAGTCACCTGTTCATGACTCTAAAATGCAACAGATAAGATGTATTACTGGACATCAAAATCCAGAGTCTAAATCCAGAGCTCTATTTTCTAAACAAACCTCACTCTGACATTCTCCATATGCATTGATTCAATGACTTCTAGAGCATCACTTTGAGCATTTAATGTCTTCAACCCTATTGGAATATGAAAGAGGGAAAAGGGGCATTATGAACTGTTGTTCAACTGGATGAGCCCAGTCAATTGATATTATAACAACATAGCAATAACATACTCCACTGGCAAATGGCAGTCTTTTATACTACACACTGACTACATACTGTCATATTAATTATTGCTAAATAGTTGAAAAATATACTTCATCTCTACCAACATGTTTTATATTCTACAGAGAGTAGTGAGCATAGTATTTCATAATTTCTTAGCAATATTCTCATTAGTGCAAAACTTGGAAAGTCTTCATAGAATCATTGGTGCTGCTATTTAGGTACTGATGGAAAAAGTGGCTCAGACCAACTACCTCTCAAGCCCAAATGATACTTAAACTATTGGCTTACATTTTGATTTTTCACAGTGCTATTCTGAATATAGATTCACTTTGTTTTCACAAATACCTTAACAGGGAGATAGGGTAACTAGGTTATTTCAGTATTACAGATGAGGAAACTGGAGATGAGGAAACTGGAGGTAATGTTTCAAGGTCATTTACAAATTCACATATAGAAGTAAAGGGGAGAGCCTGGCAGGACCCAGTATTAGGACTGTGGGCACCAGAACTGGGTTCAGCTCAAGGAAAGAGGAAAATGCTAATTTCAAAATTGAGATTACCACAAACCCTATCTGCTGTGTGAGTTATCACACATTATGTAAGACTGTTGCTAAGAAATAACTGTTTTCTTCCTCTTACTTTATAGGGTCTTTGAACTTGAGAAAGCCATCTACATCTGGAAACAAACCTACCAAAAGAGGTAAGAGCAAATAACAGCTTTTCATGGTTGTAAATAAACAGTGTTTTCTGCAAAAATTCCTTCTAATTCTTTGCTATATCTTTTATAGTAAAGTACAAATTTGTTTTAATTTAAGATAGTTCATTTTAACTTTTATGTTATTTAAACTAGAAAGATATCAATGTCCTGAACAAAGTAGAATTTAAGGGGAGGGGTGGGGCTCTATTTCAGAAAGTCATTCTAGGGAGAAGTCAAGTGACAGGTCTGCCTCCTTCAATGCCAAATTTGTAAGACCACCTTGGGAGAGAAGCACAGCTAATGATGAACACAATTATAGGCATAAACACAAATCCATGAAGCTACATGGAAAGGAAGAAAGAGAGTGCAGTGCAGAATGCAGAGGGCCAAGAGAATGCAGAGGAGTCCAGTGAGAGAGAAATATCTCCACCCCAGGCCCAGGGGACAGGGATGATAAAGTTCTGACCTACAGGTCACGTGAATACAAAAAGACACATCATGGGGGGGACTGAGGGAGGGACAAGCTAGCCCTGGGTTTTCAGAGCTTCCCAACTTTTTCCTGAGTTCCTTGTCACACACTGAGACCTGCAAGGAACATTTGCTCCTTCTGCAGTGAGAAGTCCTGGAGGGTCTTCGGGGTTCAGTGCACAGGAGAAGCGCCCAGAAGCCGGGAGCTCTGCAGTGAGAAGTGGTGCTGACCAGCAGGGTAAGGGTCACCATGGCTGGGCTCCAGGACAGCAGGAGCCTGAGGTCAGGGCTCCTGTTCCTCTGAGCACACCTCACATGCGGGAGCCCAGTCCTGCCTTGTTCTCATGTGGCCACTGTGAAGACTGCAAAGGACACAATTAACTAGCAAACAAAATAGTCTCAGACTCATAGATACAGAGGGAAAAATGACAGGTGTCAGATGGGAGGGGGTAAAGGGGCTGGGTGAAAGAAGGGTTTAAGCAGAAAAAAAAAAAAAGAAAGAAAAGAAAAGAAAAGAAAAAACTCATACACAGACAAATAAAACAGTATGGCGATTACCAGATGGAAGTAGGGTGGGGACATGTAGAAGAGAATAAAGGAGGATGAATGGGGATGGGAGGACACATGGCTTGGGGCTGGTGAATGCACAACACGATGTACACGTGATGTATTATAGCATCATGCACCTGAAACTTACATAATTTCATTAACCAATGTCACCCCAACCAATTCAATAACAAATGAAAGTAAATAAAACTGCAAAGAAAGAAATCACTTAAGTTCAGGCTTAACAAGATGGCTCTGGCAGGACAGCAGTGCCTCCTTACTGACTACATGCTCAGAGACATCATCCCCCAAGTTCTGGACCACATAGAGATGTTCACGCACTCAGCACCTGATCTGTCCAGGACAGGGACAGCTGGACAGTCAGGTATTGCTCAATTTTGTCACAAGCCTGTTCAAGAGTCAACAGACTCTTAGTTATTTTGTTTAGTTATGGACACAAGGAAAAGTTTTTGGTTATGACTATTAAGTTCCCTTTATAGCTTTTGACAGATGACCCCCAACATGACATTGGCCTATCTAGTGATGTTTGAACATGGCTTTGCCTAAAAGGACATCTATTTATGTTTACAACAACCTCAAAGTTTGGCCAGATAACAGTTGCTCCCCCATTTCACTGTTGGGGAGCCATCAGTTTCCTCTCTGTATCTATGATGTTCTCAGACTCTTTACAGAATCACAGGGAGAGTTACCTTTATTCAAAACCTCTGAAGCCACAAGTAAAATAATAATGTTTTACTATTTTAGAAATGCACTGTGATTTATATCCTTTATGTGTCAAAAGACCTCAACAGTGCCAGGGGCAAAATCTTATTCTCAAATATATTAATATTTCTTCAATAACTTGTGTGAAGTCACACCAAGTGTGATAAGTTAGAGATGCTACATGGACTCATGGCAGCTAAGGTCAGCTTCCCTGCCAAGTGACTTAGCTGAAAACCTGGGAAAAACTGATGGTTTTCAAGACTTCTTTGATTCTGCATATGGGATAAAGCATTGTGAGACTTTGCTTCATTTTATAGCAATCTCATTGCTTTAGATGAGAAGAGACAGAAATGATCATCACCACATCTTTAAGTTCCAAATCCTTCAACAATGTGAAGAGTCATAAGATTTACCACTCCTTCAGTTATAGAATATTGGCTGTGTTTTCCTTTGCTTCCAAATGCTGTGGACATTGAAAAGCATTCCATTTAAGCAATAGGCATTGGGAAGAAACCTAAGAGCAAAGATAACTAGTAGCTTTCTTTGTTACAAAAGCTCTGTTCAAGTATTCCTGTTTTTTTCCCTTTAAATAAAAAATAGTAATTTGTTGGGATTTTAGATGACACACAATAAATATTATGTGTTTGGAGCACTGCTGACTGGTATAAAAGGTCAATGGCACAAGTGCGGCACAAGTGCATTTGTCTGCAATAAAAGCATACCTGGGCGACACCAATATACTGCATAGGCCTGCTCTTTGGGGACCTGGCTGAGGGGGCACCGACACCTCGTAAAAACATTAAGACCAGGACAGGATGGAATACCTGTTGCAATCTCTGCATAAGCTGAAGTACAGAAGCATTTAAGGTATATTTCCAAGTCATGTTGAGAAATTAAACAAGACCCAGGGCCCATTCCAGACACTTATTTCTCAAGAAATCAGACAACTTTATACTCGTATACTCAGGTCTTCTGCAGCATGAACCATCCTAAGACCTGGAACTTTTATTTTTTCATGTTTGTTTTCTCACCACCATCTGTTATTTTCTAGGTTTCATGGATCTTGGAAACAACTCTGCTGCACAAACACCCAAGAAAAAAAGAAGTAAGAGTGAATAAAACTTTCCTTACTTTTAATGTGAGAAATTCACTTTAAACACCAGAGTTTCATCATTGTTATTATTTGCAATATTGTATTAGGCGGAATGATGTCTCCTCAAAGATGTCTATGCCCTAATCCCTGGAACCTGTAATCTGTTATCTCACATGGCAAGTAGACTTGACAGATGTGATTAAAATAGGGACCTTGAAATGGGGCAGATTTGCCTGGATTACCTGGGTGATGCCAATATACTCAATAGCCCTTAAAAAATGGAGAGCCTTTCTTGGCTGTGGAGAGAGGAAGAAGTGACTATGGGGGAACAGTCAGAGTGCTGCAATACCTCTGGCTCTGCAGACGGAGGAGGGACTAGGGAATGTGGGGGACCTTAAGAAGCAGGAAAAATCAAGGAAGCAGATTACACCCTACACCCTCCAGAAAGCAATGAAGGTCTGCTAAAAACTGGATTTTATCCCAGTGAGTCATTGCCAGAATTTCTTATTGACATTAATTGGAAGATGATAAGTTTGTGTTGTTTTAATCCATTATTTGTAGTAAATTGTTATGACAGAAAATATAGAAATAATACAGACTTTGGCTCTTGTAAGTGCCTTTATGGCTATAAAACAATCCTAAAAGTCTGTCCGTGTCTGTGCAGTGAGCAGTGCCTAGAAGAATTTAAGTAAAAAGATTTTTAAAAGCCTAGATGGCCTTGAGGAATTTGTTCTTAGAAATGTGGTTGCTGAGGACCTGGAGAGGACTCAGAAGGAGAGAAAAATGTGGGAAAGAAAACCTGTGCTGTCTCAGAGAAATTGTAAATCATCCCTGAACAGCACAAATAGGGAGGTTATTGGTGTGACTGGTGAGGGTCAGAAGGAAGTAAAAAACATGTGTTTGGGAACTGGAAGAAGATCCTTATTATAAAATGACTGAAAGCATAGGGAAACCCTGTTCTGCAGATATGTGGAAAGCAGAACTTTGTAGAGATTTCTAGGTGATAAGGATGCAGCAGTTTTCTTTTTGCTGCTTACAATAAAATGTGAGAGGAAAGAGATAAACTAAGGGGAGAACTGTTTTTTAAAAAAACAAAGGAATCAGGACTTGATGACTTGGGTTCTTCTTAGCTTACTCAGGTTGCAAAAGATGCCAAAGCTGAAATTCACTGTCAGGTAAGTGTGCTCTGCAGAACGACCAAGAATGTGACTTAATGACTATTTGGTGGAACCTCAGAAGTAAGGAAAAGTCAGAGTATTCAGTCACAGAAAAATTCTGTGATGAGACTGTGTGTGTGATTTACAGATCCTCTCAGCCATCTCAGCAGAAGCCAAAAATTGGTATGTGATTATGTAGGGAGGATCCGTGCAGGAGCCTTTGTTAATGGAGCAAATCCTCATGACATATATGGCTGACCTATTCAGTTCTTGAGAATTTTATACCAACAGAAACAGAGCTGTCCATGTGCAATCCCCAGAATCTGCAATCTGGTTCTCTTTTTTTACTTTATTTTTATTGTTGACACTATTACAGATGTCCCCATTTCCTGCCCTTAGCCACTGCCACCCAGCGCCCATCCTCCCTCCCTCTGGCCTTCACCACACTGTTGTGTGTGTCTATGTGTTATGCATATGTGTTCCTTAGGTAATCCCTTCCCCTTCTTTCACCCAGTCCCCTACCCTCCCTCCCCTCTGACAGCCATCAGATTGGTATCTGATATCCAGTTCAAGCTCTTTAATTTTTGCACATGACATTAAGTAAGGTCTTTGGGGGGATGGCATATAGATATTCCATTGTCCCTGTACCATTTACTGAAGATTATCCTTTTACATTGAATCAATTGCTTTGACATTTTGGCTTATGGCCAAAAGTCATTTGCCCATCCAAGTAGGATGTATTTCTCTACTTCTTTTTCTGTTCTATTTTCCAATGTGTCTATCTTTAGGTCAATATTCTATTTTCTGGATTACTACAGCTTTATGATAAGTCCTAAAATTATATACTAAGACCTATAATTTTGTTTCTCTTTTTCAAAATGGTTTTAGCTATATTAGGCCCTGTGTATTTGGAAGCTTCTTCTTTTTCCTTTAGTTTAGCCACTTTGAAGATCACATCATTGCCCAAGGTGCCTGCTGAATGCAGCCACCTAGACATGCTCTAGGCCATCCAAAGGAGAAATGGGGAAGAGCAAAATATACTTTCCTTCAGAGATCTGCCCCTTTTGTGAGAAGCTTTCCTAGACTTCCCCACCTCCCACATCTCACTCATCAAATCTGAAACAGGTGGTCCTGCCAGCTATTAGTGAAGTTATGGACTACGGTATTTTGTCTGGACTATGACATCTCCAAGAAGACACATGTCCTCTTAGTAAATTAGGAATTAAAAATGACAGCTGGAATACAATATGAAGAATTGACTCTTTCAGCTCTTAAAAATCTGTTGAAAGTTCCTTTGGAATCTAATTGTGTGATCCATATTTATAAATGTTTTCTGTCTCTTTCAAAGTATGCACATTGGAACTATTTTGGTGATCTGGCTCCTCCCCATATACATTCTCTTCCTGAAGCACAACTTGGTTGTTTAAATCCCCTGGATGCACAGGAAATTGGGGATGGGGGTTGTACGCATTCCATCCTGTCATATAGGGATGTATTACATGCCCTGACTTGACTGTGTATTTGACAATTCCTCCTTGTTCTGTTTTTGTACTAGAAATACTTTGAGGCTATTCATGACTGTTATTACTTAGGTGGATTTCTTCTTTTATAATTACAGAGTGTTCCTGTATATCGTACTAAATGCTTTTTACTTTCAAATCTTTACACAGGGTGCTAATATTGTCACATTAACTTTTATGTTTTATGTTTTTTTACTGCCTTTTTCATTAAGTCCCACTATGCAGTTTATGTTATGCCTCATAATGACACTCTGCCTCTTGCAAACTTCTCTGATAAATCTGGTCTTTTAATATGATTTTATTATTATTAGATTCCTGATATATGTGGACTTATGTATTCTATATTCTTGTTAACCATTTCTGTTGGGTGTTTTTATGTTTTTTTTTCCTCATCCTGATTGATTGAGATAGAATTCCATATTCCACCATTTGTCTCTTCTGGTTTGGAAATTGGAGATAAAATTTCTCCCATCTCTCCAACTATGCCCTAATCTCAAAAGATGTCAAGGATCTCAGCATGAATATTCTCAAACTGAACCTTTAATCTCCATGATCTCCACATTTCTGCAAAATAATTCATCATTTTATACACTTATCATTGTTTCTTTCCTTTGGCTTTACTTTGTGTCTAGTGGAATTAATACCTACTTATTGTAGTAGGCTGTCTATGTGGCAAACCTGCCAGTGTTGTACATGGAAAGTTGCCTTTGATTTGAAAAATTTTAAATAGAAAGATGTCTTCAGTATGCCAATATGGCTACTGGTTGTCTTTCAGGATCTATTGCATGGGTGATGATTTCTTTTTTGTAGTTTAACTGTCATTTTTTGCTTAATAGCTTCTTTTTTTGCCAAAATCTTATTTTCCAACTATCAAGTTGTGAAAATTTTAGGACCACTAAAAACTTGAAATATTGTACCATAAACATCAAAATACTGTCCCATCAATGCAAAATTAACATTCACTATTCTGGCTTTATCACATTTCTGTCCATCTATCCATGTCCCTATCCATCCACTAACCACCCTCAGGTTTGAAACATTTCAATCAGTACATTTCTCTCCAATCCCTTCAGCATGCAGAGTATTAACTAGACTGCAATATTTGTTTGCAGTGCTTTTCTTTGTCTCTGGACATAAAGTTTATCATTTATAATAAGATGCACAAATACTAAGAGCTATGATTAAAGTATTCTCTGGTAAAGTCCAATCTTTATGAAGATACAGAACATGACCATCACCCTGGAACATAAGGAGCTCTCCCCTGGGGAGAGGAGGGACAATGGACTATCCTAAAATATCTCAGGGGTGAGGTGATCTCTATTTTATATTGATCAGGTAACAACATTAACATTAGCTTGCAACACAGTTTCTTAATCAAAATTCCTTGAAAAGATACCCTGAGGAAACTGGAAATGCCACAGAAAATTGCCTCCCAATAAGCTCACCCCCACATAGCAGAGTCTGGCAGTGTCCCCAGGAGGTCACCACTCCACCAGCCACTCTGATTAATATCACCACCAAGGGGGGCTGAGCCCCAATCCATTCATTTGTTTCCTGCAGCATTTACCAAGTTTCTTCTACTGCAAGTGCTTTAGGATCCTGTGATCACTCCTATGGTGCAAGTCACCATGTTTGCATGACAGAGACAAGTGAACACAGTGCCCTCAAAGGGAAGTATTCACCACTGTCGAGGTCTGTGAGGATGTGTATATACATCAGCTAGGAGGTGGGGGGACAGGCATGTCCTCTAGTCTGGGCCACTGGCCAGCTATAGGTCTTATGTTGTTGCTTCTGTTCACTGTTTCTAGTTTTTAATGGGGCAGGAGGGGGCAAGGTTACTACCTAAGAACCATCTCTCCAATCTGCCTCTTATGTCCATGACACCAGGCAGGTCACATTTGTTCTTTTCACAACCCTCCACCAAATGACTAAGAATCTATGTGGGGCACATTGCCCAGAGACATTCTGCATGGGATTTCAGATGCTGGCACCAGCCCCTGTTTCCTTGGATCAGATGCTGAGTGGCAGACTCAGCATCCCTGTGGTGAAAGACCTGGACCAGGTGGTTTCATTCTCTAAGGAGGACTCAGGGAGCTCGGAATGACAGATATCATTAAGGTCTCCCTACCTCCCCTACCTTCCTAGATGTTTCTTCCTCAGGGGCCTGGATCTTTGCTCTTCCTTCACTGTTATGAAACCTGTGTGTACTATTCCACTGGATCCAGCTTTATTGTTCTTTCCATAATCTCCTGCTGTCACTCAGATTTTTCATCTAGAAGGGTCACACATAAAATGGAAAAGGCATTTCAAAAAAAAAAAACATGAAAGAAATTAAACCTGAATCATCTGGGCACTCCAAGGAGTCCACCTTCCAGGCTGGTTGGGGAAAGTATGAGGCATCAATGCCAGCAAGGGTCAGAGCAGAATCTGGACTTTCCACAGTTGGTCCCTGTAACACCATTAATCCCCACATTCACTTTTGTCCTGATCACAATGCAAGAAGAAGCTGATCCCTTTCTGCCTTCTTTGGGGACAGCTGCCTTCAGGGACCAAGGAGCCTTCACAGAGAAGTGTGTGGACAAGGGAAGACAAGGTCATCTAAGTCTATGGACTTAGATGATCAGAGCATTGGTTGTAGCTTTTGATAAACGACACACCATTCACAGACTACAACTAGTCTAACCACCCATGCAATTTATAGATTGCCTAGAGATTCCTGACTTCCCCTTTCACACAGGAAGGTGCAGGTACAGTCTGGGACTTTGCCTCCAATGACCTAACTACAGGGAAACAGCACAGTCACAGAGCTCCCTTCTACCAGAACAGCAGTGTCACTGTCACATAAGAATCAGGGGGCTGACTGCATGGGGAGCTGAGACAGGTGTCCTGATGCCTGGTGTCTCTGCTAAAGTGTTCTTAGTGTGGGGGGTGTGAGAGGTGAAATCAAGGCAAAGGTTGTGTGGGTATGTATGAAAAAAATGCCACTGAAAGAAAGGCTTGGAAACTCTGAAGATGTGTGGAATACAGTTTGCTTAGTACCCCTATGACTTTGTAGAAACAATAACTACATGGTAGGAAGTTCTCTCTGTGCAATTATGAAATGAGACAGAATAAAAATCTTCTCTTTCAGGGTCAAGACAGCAGCCAGATGCGCCTGTGAATTTTCGTGCTGAAATACTTCGTGTGGCCTGTGGGGGTGATGAGGGGGCTGTTAATTAAGAGAAAATTGGAACGAGGTAGGTTTCCAGGTTACTTTAATTTGCAACCCCTCTGTGAAGGAATCACATGAAATAATGGAATGACCCACGTGAATTCTGTCATTCAAGAATTGAGTCCCCACTGTGGCTTGAAAAGAAAAAAAAGGATCCCTAAGATGATATTTTTTACACTGTAAGCAGTGCTGCATATCAAGTGCTCACTCCCCCATGTGCAAGTGCCCATGAGGATGCCCAAAGAAACAAAGAGAAGTACAGGAATGTCTGTCTCAGGGTTCAAAATACTGCATTTTCTACTTTGAATCAGATGTAACAGGGAAGAGGCCCTCAGCCTCCACGTTCACATTCTGTATCCCATCTGGGTAATCACCACCAGGACAGGGTATTGGATGTAGTGAGGAGATCACAGAGTTTAGAGTCAGGAAACCTGATCCCAGCCTCAGCCCTGCTGAGAGTGACAGTGTGAAGACTGGGACCTTCCTGAGCCTGAAACTTCCCATCTAAGAAATGAATAATAATTACAAACATGCCTCCTACTCTGACTTTGAGAGTTCTTTTATATATGAATATAAAGTATTTTGTGATTTTAATATTATAAAGCTTAAAGCTTTTTGTCTATATGATGAACTTCATATCAGATTACTAAGATTTTATCTATTTATTTTTACAGAGAAGGGAAGGGAAGGAGAAAGAGAGAGAGAGAAACATCAATGTGTGGTTGCCTCTCATGTGTCCCCTACTGGGAACCTGGCCTGGAACCCAGGCATGTGCCCTGACTGGGAATAGAACCAACAACCCTTTGGTTCACAGGCCCGTGCTCAAACCACTGAGCTACACCAACCAGGGCTCAGATTATTTTTAATATGGCTATGAGAACACTAATATGAGTAAATGCTTTATCATAATTAATTTTAAACAACCTCCCAGAGATATAACTCACATATGTATAATTCACCATTTACAGTGTAGATTTCACTGATTTTTTTTATTTTGTTCATTCACAAGATTATAAAACCATCATCACAATCTAATTTTAGAACATTTTGTCCCCACCAAAGGAAACCCGATGCCTCTCAGCTGTCAGGGCCCATTCCCACCCAGCCCATCGCCCACCCTAAGCACTGATTAATCTATGTTCTGACCTATAAATTGGCCTATGTAAGCATTTTATCTCAATTGACTCACATAACATCTGCCTTTCTGTCACTGGTTCCTTCACTTAGCATGAAGTTTTCAAGGTTCACACATACAGTGCCATGTCTTATAAGTCATTCTTTTTATTGTCCTATGTGAGCCATCATATGGATTTGAAATATTGCATTTAGTCTTCAGTTAGGGTTTTCTCATTCTTTGGCTATCATGAACAATAATAACCCTTTTATGTAAAGTTATTTTGTGAGTATATTTTTAAGATACTTTTTAGTATATACCCTGCAGTGGAATTGCAGGATTACCTGGTAATTCTGTGTTTTTCTTATTGAGAAAAAGACAAACTATGTTTCAAAGTATTGCACCATTTTAATTCTCATCAGCAAAATCTGAGGGTTTCAATCTCTATGTATTCTCACCAACACTTGTTATTGTCTGTCTTTTTTCGTAGTGGCCACCCTAGTGCTTAGACTCTAGAATTTGATTGTGGTTTAATTTCCTTTTATCTAATGATAATGGCATTAAGTATATGACAATCTTTTACATATAAGTTAAATTTTCTACTGATTAATATCTCACAATTATTTTAGTATCAGCTACCCATGATTTCAAGGATGGAAAAATATCTGCTCAACAATGACAGTAAACTCAGAGAAAATTGTTGTAACACAGGACGTGGATGTTGCCTTAGTGCCATTGTGAGCTGCAGGGCCTCCACTTGAAATTTTAATTCAAAGCAGCAAATCTCCTTGGAGGGAACTTATAAGCTAGGATTCTAGGTTCTGAAGTATGGAAGGGGAGGCCAGATGCTCCTGCTATTGATCTTGAACCCAGATGGGTGACATCAGATCCAAAGAGGTGGGAGGCCAACCTCTGAGCACTGAGGACAAAGAGGGGTCAGCATCAATGTACCCTGGTCTTACAGGAGCCACAAGGAAGTGCATAAGAACTGAAGATGGAAACTGGTTCACCCCCAGGGAATTTGAAGTCAGAGGAGGCTTGGAAAAAGCAAGTAACTGGAAGACCAGCCTCACCTGCGGTGGAAAATCCCTAAAAAAGCTGATAAAGGTATTTCAGTAACAGGGGCAGAAGGTATGACTTCCTTTGCTGTCATCAAAGATGAGGTCAGTATTCAATACCCAGTATGTGCTAAGTTGTGGCTGGAGCCTTGAAGCCAAGACTTTATCCTTTTCACAGGAAGAGGTGCCCCACACTCACACCTCAGTACAAGGGAACCCATCCATTTGTCAAAGGCGCTCTGTCAGGGTGACTGCAGGGGCTTGGGAGAGGGAAAGGTCATTTCGGACCCAGGTGCTTACAAACAACTTTCAGCACTAAAAGAAAGAAGACTGTGTAGAGTCACACAACTGGGCAGAACACACTCCCTAGAAAGAGTGGTATAAAACCAGAACCACAGTTACCACGACTCCATGAGCTGAGGTAGATGGATTGTGTGTGACACAGCATAATCCATCAATTGGGGTTGTTTGCAGAGGGATTTAATGTCAGGTTAAAGAGTTCAAACTGGTAACATGGACAGTGCAGAACCACAGAGTCTCCTGAGCTATGAAATGACATATTTAAAACAGTATTTCAGACAATGCAGGAACTTGAACTGAATTCACTATCTTTCAGCCCAAGAAACATATAGTCAACCTTCAAGGCTCAGCTCCCATGTCACTCCTGTCTGAATGTTCCCTGACTGACCTGCCCTGGTCACCCCTTCCCTGGGTCCCCTGAACTCTCAAGTGAGGCCCTTCTCATACTGTCTTATTCTTATCCTTCCACCCATTCCCTTTGTTTCTCTAGAACCCTAGTAGGGTTTGTCCTTTATGTGCCCATCATTGTCCAGAGGGTGTGACACCCTGTAGCTGTGGGACACGTGCATTCAGTTAAATAGCCCTGGTGTGAGCAGGCAGGTCTGAGTGGCACTGGTGGGAATGGAGAGGGAGTGAGAGTTGCCTAAGAGATTGTGAAGGAAAACCTCTGAAAAGTTATTTTAAAATGCACAAAAGAAAAAAGAAGAATTTCTAAAGATGTATTTCTGGGTTCTGTGGATGAATCTAGAACAGGTGGGGGGAGGGAGATGGTTCCTCAGTTAGACACCTGGGCTTTGAGATGACAGTTGGACATTTGTGTAGAAATATTCATAAGGAGGTTGGAATGCCAGATTCACAAAACTTAAACACAGGCTAAGCATCAACTTGGGTCTTTTTTTTCTTTCAGGATAAACATATCCGTCCACCTCCCATTACACGTGAAAGCAAAAAAAATGGTGATTATTACTTTATATAGTTCTTATTCATAACTGATTTTATATGTACTGCATCATTTCTATGGTTTCTCAGTTGTATAATAATTTTGTTTCTTTTTCTCCTCTCCTGTACCTTTATTTATGTACCTGTGCATGTATGTATATAATGTATGTATGTATATATTTTGCATGCCTTCAGAGTTGCTCCATTGAACATTAGGTGGTATCCAAGGTTATCCTGAATTGTAAACCATTTCAGATGGGGATGATAAGGAGCCATAAAACCAGATCTAATAGCTGAGTGTTACCTATAGAGGCAGCTGCTGTAAAGTTGTTACAGTTGTAAAAGCAAACATGATTCTGGAATACATGAAAACCTTCCTTAATAAGGTCATAGGGTTATCTTCAAGTCAATCCCAGATTTTTCTGATAAAGGTTACTATTTTCTAACTTTAATGAAATTTAATGAAGAAGAAGTTTGCTCCCCATCATCCAGTTGAACCTGTCTGGTGGATCATCTATCTTGGGACACATATGAAACCGTGTACTACTTCATGAGATAGGAAGCTAAGAGCATATTTCTTCTCTGATTGCTTGTATACTCTTTCATCCTTCAATAAAACATACATACAGACAAACAAAATTCCTTCTGAAGCAGAAAATATTGTCACATTTTTCATGAGGATGGTGCTGTTGGGGAGGGACCCTTGGGGGATAGATGTAGCTTAAGTGAGAGACAGACCTGGAAAATTGTTTACTTTCATGCCCTCCTTTGGCTACACCTCAGGGTCTATGAAAACTGATTTCTCCTTCTGTGGATGAAGGCTATGGAGGCAACAAACACATATGTAATATGAATGCAGATCCAGGACAAAGTGGTAGTTTTTACAACAGTGGGTATGAATGAGAACTTGAGAAGCAGGGGAAGGTGCGAGGTGCCATTCTCACACACTACAGGTAGAAATGGCCCCCCAGGACATTCACAGAATTCTGCATTAGTTTACACAGAGCTGGCCACTGGGACTTCATCTAGCACTGGGAATGTGAGACCCAGGCCTTTACACTACCTGATGTTCTGCGTCTTTTAAACACTCAGACATTGGGACATTTCACCCACTGGGTTTAGTAAAGAGAAATTACTGTGGACCTAGTCAGTGAACTACTGTAAAGTTTCCATCATTCTCCATGTGCCTAGAGTTACTTTATCTGGATTACCTGAAGGAGCTAGCAACTTCCTACCCACAGGTTCTATCATTATATGTGGGTGCAACACTTTGTACCAACCAGGTTCAATTTTCCGTATATTTTGTGTCTTTTCATCAAAAACCAAAATGATGCAGATTGGCAGATCTCAGGATGCATTACTACCTTGGTGGATCGTCTGTATCTCCCACAACTTCTCTTGTTGATGGAGCCCCTGGTTCCTGAAAACTTCAGTGTGAATTTTGGCACCACACAACAGCTTCCTGTCATCAGATGAGGTCCACTCATACTTTCTGGTGACAGCTCCTGAGTGTTGTCAAGTAATCTGAAATAATCAGCCAGAAGAACCACTTATTATATACTAACATTTGCTAAAAAGATAACAAATGTTCTCTTTTCCTAAGTGAAACCATACTCATTTATTTACTCATTCAACATACAGCTACTGAGTGCATAGAAATGCCCAATGTCCCATAAATAATATTGAAATCATATCCCTGAGCTCAAGGATTGTTTCAAATTCAATTATCCACCATGTGACAATAACTATTGGGGATCAGGGACACTAGAGTACTCAAGAGACAGGCTGTGAGTTGACTATTTCTCAGGTCACTTATCAGAGGACCACACTAGTCTGTGACCTCTCTGCCCTGGGTGGGGATAAAAGCTGAGGCTGCCTGAAGGGAAGGAGGCCAAGTCATTCTACTGAAGGTACAGAAGCACTGCAAGTGTCGTGTGCAGAGCTCAGTTTCCTGTGAAAGGCCAGTCAGGTGCCATCTGGGGGATTTGGATGAAGGGAGAGGGGTGTGACCTTCTGGAAGAAGAATTGGAGTACAGAGGACCTAGGATTCATTTTATCATTAGGCTGGTGTCCTAGAAGAATTGTAGGAGCTGCTGGACTTCTCTGGGACATGTGCATGGTTCTCAGGACCCTCAAAAAGAGATGGCGATCCAGAGGGTCCTGTCATACTGCCACTAACCAAGAGTCTGTCAGGAGGAGAAGGCAACTGTTCCAGGAAGAGCACTCTCACTCCTGTTAATAACAAAGTTTCCCAGGATAGATATTACAGGCCAATTCAACAATGCCTTATAAGATTCCCATGCATTAATAACCACACTGTCTCAGGCTAAAGCTCAATTTAGGCTGTACTGGAATCACCTGAGGACCTTTGGAAAATAACATTGCTTTAATCCCACTCTACACAAAAGTTTGATTTCACCGTTCTACATTATCACTTGGACATTAGAATTGTTAAACAATCTTCAAATGATTTTCATACACAAGTTACTCATTCTACAATTTAAGGAGAATGCCAGTGCCTAAACTCTACCAAATCAATTGATCAGAATATCTGCCACTGGGACCAGGAAATTATTATTTCATATACTCTCCTCAGACAGTTCAAATGTATAGCTGGGCTAACAAAGAGCAAGCCAAAGAAATAAGAGCTGCTCTTGATTAAAATGTATGAGTGCAAGATTTTTAGGCAATTTTTACATTTATTATTTCCTTGTTCTTCTGAGAAGAGGGTCGCCACTTTCTGGAGAGGGTGATGGTAAGGTGAGAGTCCCTGCAGTGAGGAGAAGGAAACTGTCCCAGGGCTCCCATGGTGGAGCAGTCTCAGCCCCCACTGTGCATGTGATTCAGGATTCTCCCAGAACACTGAATGGCAGCTCTTGGCAAGATGTCATTTGGCACTTGCACTTTGTCCTATACGGATATAAAACAAATGACCAGACTCTTGATTCTGGGAAAACATTTCACCCAAAATCCCAGAACAAGATTCAAAATAATTCTTAGTGACTTTTCATCCTTTATTATTTTGTACATTCAGAAAAATAACATAGTTATGCTCCAAATTACTCTGCCTAATTATTTAAGGACATTTGTGATCTCTGTGTGTTGTTATTAGAGATATAATACAGATTTGAGAAACAGACCCCTCTTTTATGTGTTAAGCTTGAACCATTGTTTAGGGTCTCAGCGTCCCTGTTTGCAGTGGACCCTACAGGGACAATGGATTTAACAACAACAACAACAACAACAAAAGTTTATATTTTACTGTGAGAAGAAATGGGGATAGATTGGATTTGGGACACAAGCAAGAATAGGGACTCAGAATGGATTCTCAGGTTTGTGGTTGAAGGTGCATGTTTTATGAGATGGAAGCACCAGGAAAGAGCATGTAGTGGGTTGGGGAAAGAGAATACATTGTGTTTTGACTGGATAAGTTTGGGGTGTGATTTAGGGCCCAGGAGGAGATGCTGGTGAGCACAGGGATGTACACAAAGGCAGGAGGCAGGGTGGACATAGGGGCACTAGGGACATAGTGATGTAACTGCGGATTTGAGAGTGATTTAACCATCTGGGACCAACCAAATGGCCAAAAATGGTAACCTGGAGTATCCTTTCTAAATGTTGGATGAGAAAGACTGAAGGTAACATCATGCATCAGTTAGTCAAGGTAGTAACCCCAGAAGAAAGACAGCACAGACCATATGTGTTTGGAGAAAGCAGAAGGGTCTCAATAGAGAAAGGTGGATGCTATCATTCCTGCCTCCTGCTCTTCAACAGCCCACTTCCCTCCACCCAGCACTCATCAATGGGAGGGCCAGTCCCCAAGCCAACCTCATTTGTGTCACCTCAGATGGTCACAGGAGGGGAAGAATTTCTTCAACAAACAATGGGATATACAGGGTATTTCTACCTGGGAGAAAAGAACCTTCAAGCAATTCTCAAACTTCTTGATTCTCTCAGAAGGCAGAACCAGGAAAGCAACCACGAGCTTATACAGTTCCTAAAAGTTCATCTTCATCTATAAATGCTGGTTTTCAGTTTTTTAAGTGGGTTTTGCTTTAATCACCCCCTTCTTCACCCTTCTTTCGGGGGGATGGCAAGTAATAACATCTGTCACAGCACAGTTGGATGGACAGGTGTTATTAGTCACACCTACTCCCAAACTGTAAAAGGAGGTCAATGCCATACATGCAGGCCTTACTGAGATCACCCCCAGGAACCAAGTGGACAATGAGGGGCTGCAGAGTGTGGGGTGGCCCCCTGGTTTCCACGGGAGGTTGTGGCTGGCTTGTGTCAAAGATTCCCTGGCTCACAGGGAACTGAAACCTGATATTCCAGGATGGGCAGGATCAGTGCTGATCCCTTGACAAGGGAATTATTTATTAATAATAATGCACAGCTAAATTATTTAGCTGTAGGACCTTATCCAGGGAAATAGAGTGGGGAGAGGAATGTGCAGATAGGCTATCTGAGGCCATCTCAGTCTTACCAGATATCACAGCAGCACCTGACTTTGAGCTTTAATATTATTTCTCACACTATTTTCTTCATTAACAAAAAGCTCAGTCACAGGCCAGTTCATTCTCACAGGTACACACGCTTGGATAGAACACAGTGTATCTTCATATCTGCTGTGCAAATTTATTAGGTTTTAATGAATAACGGTCAAATTTTGGATGAAAATATTATCAAATTTTATCTTCTCCAAGTGAAATTGAATCTGGTCAAAAGACACGTATTGAGACTGGTAAGAAATCCAGGTTCAGTTGATTGTGCATGGGTTGGGAGAGAGCTCCCCACTCT